ATGATGAAAGTTTAGGCGGTACAAAGAAAACTATTGTTTGCGGATTACTCATCGATATTTAATCAATTATAGATTAAACTACCTTACAGGAAATTCGAGAGATAACCACCTATCTTATCGAGGGATCGCTTCTAGCTAGTGACGAGGAGTGCTGTGCGTATCATTAAAATTTCCAATGGAGTCTATGTGCTATATAATAAAATATGTATTAAGTTAACAAAGTACCAGAGAGAGACTTTGTACAAAAGTCGATTGCTTGGATACCTCTGTCCCATTTGTGTTTCAACCGTGAATCAGTTGTGTTTACATGGCTGTGTTTCGGTTTGAAGGGTGGGATATGGCGTGAATTTACTGGGTACAGAGGAATAACACCTGAGTCCTCAGGAATGGCAACGCATGGGGGGTATCACGGGCGAAACAGTATACTCTGTTATGTCCATGGTACTGCTCATGTCTATAGGCGACGGTTACCACTTTCCATCAGGTGGACCGTTAGCTTGTTTGCCATTCTAAGTTATATAAAAAAAAGTACATAAAGTATCTAATATACTAAATTAGGATATAACTTATCCGTGTACCAAATTTCATTCAAATCCGTTTAGTAGTTTTTGCGTGAAAGGGTACCAAACATTCAACCACCGTTCCGAACTTTGGCATTTATGTTATTATCCTTACTAATATTATAAATTTAAGGAGGGATAAGGGGGGAGGAACCAGTTTTATTGCTAATAATATACCCTATCAAGTCGAAATCCACGTGATCCCCCTGGAAACCACTGTGCTAAAGTCCAGGTGTATTCGTCACGATGGGCTAATTGATCGGCCTTTTCATCCTCATCTATCATCCTTCACTGGCGTCCCGCCAGCTTATACCGGTAGTGCAGGCAGGGATATCATTTCATTATCATTCATTAAAAAAATATTATAAATGTGAAAAAGAGAGGCACCCACGAAAAAGAAAGGTGTGGCCAATTCTATGCCGAGACTACACAGCATAATACAAATATAATGTAATATATAGAATAGGAAGAACCGTCAACCGATGGGGAAGAAAGGTTCTTTAGTGGCGACCACGTACGGGTAAATGCAGTGTAGGACGACCCCCCACTAGATGGAGTGACGACCTGAAAGCAGGGAGTCAGTAGATGCAGGTGGCTCAGGACCGTTCTTTATGGCAGTCTATGGGGGAGGCTTATGCCCAGCAATGGACAGATAATGGTTGAAATGAATAAATACAGAATAGGATAAAGAAAAAATCAATTTGAATCGAATCGAAACATTGAATGTTTCGATTTTTTTTTTTTTCTTATTTTATTCAGAGAGTGTTTCTAATTTTATCGAAGCTTAGTTATTTTTGAAACGGAATATAATATGAATAGCATCTACAAAATTATATTAATAAGCAACAATTTACTTACCTATTAAAAGCCTTGATTTACAAAAGCTGAAATTACAGCAAATATTAATGGAACGGTCCGATTCAATGCTACCAGATATTATGTACTATGTAGACAAATCCTGATTAATTTGAAATTCAGCGAATCACAAATTCGTCTGGCTTTTGCGGTCCCATCTATTATGAATGTGCTAAGCCGCCTTTGGGTCCCTTTTAGAGGTCTTGATAGCCGAAATTACATTACGAGTTGGTAATTTGAACAAATGTCAAAAGTGCTATTAAGTGATACAAACGCGATTATGTTATTATTAGACTTTTTATCCTTAGCTCAACCAAAAACCTCTTTCAAAAAAAGAGCCCAAAATTAAAAGCGAAACAAAAGGAATTTAACATTTTACTTTTGTTTAACAGATATCAACAAAAAACGGCTTAAAAATGTTAATATTTCACTGAACTAGGAAGAATCTTGCGATTCGTATCCGTTTAAAATTATTTTGTTTCATTCCTCTACTGTTAATATCTGCCAAAACTAGAAGGTTGATTATCACTATTACTACCAGAAGTTCCACAACCTTTTATATTTTTTTTGATAGGTGAAAATGGTATGGTAACCCCGCCTACGCTAACGGGATACGCTGGCGGAGCACCAGTGAAGGGTGATAGATGACAATGAAAACAGGCCAGTTAGCCCATCATGATGAATTCATCAGGAATTAACCATGATAGTTTCCAGGGGGAACTGCAAGGAGGTCGACCTGGTTGAGTATATTGCTAACAATGGGATTCTCAGTCTTCATCACTAAAAATTCCTTTTCCCCCGACCTTCCATATTAGCCATCTAACTCCGCCTGCAATTTTGTTCACGCACGTTTTGTAACACGTGGTTAAAATGTAATGTGTTTATTTTTGTTTGAAAGTATTAGTTTTCAAAACTGTTAAAAAACTACACTGTATTTTTTTTATTGTTTGTTGTTTTATTATAGGGTTGTTATTATTTAATTTTTAGACTCGAGCAGACGGTCCTCCTGATAGAAAGTGATTACCTTCGTCTATACGCACCTGCAATACGAGGGAAGTTGCTTGTGCTTTGCCGACCTTTAAAATGTTTGTAGGTTTAAACCGTTTTATATTGTAAGGGCAAAACTTTGGAAGATTTAATTCTAAGCTTTCTTGGTACGGAACATCTAAATCATTAGCTTAATTATCTTGACCTAACATAATATTGAACCCTGTTGGGCCCTTTGTGTAACAATTACCTACAATAACTTCATATTACAAATAATGTGAATCGATTCACGTGTTTTACGCCCAAACTACCCGTGCATTCTTGATAAAATGCTTAACATATCCAAAATCAACAGACCAAAGCACACGAGTGTGCCCTTCGCCTCCGGCTTATGTTTTATTAAAACTGAATTAACGGGCCCCAATTGTGTTCTGTCGTCTATACGAGACCCTTTATTATTAAACATCGGTTAATCAAAGGACAGCCTCAGAAATTAAACCAACCTTTGTAAACTTAAATAAGGGAAATTGGTAATTTTAATGGTTTACATAGGATATGAAATATTATTTGGCTATGTAAACTACAATTAAGTATTTTAGTTTCCGCACACAACGTGATCAATTGTGTTTATAAAAGTGAAAATGAATTTATTTGTTACCACATAGCGTCTTAACGTCTCGACCAATCAATCAAATGAAATTTGGTGTAATTTAACATCTAAATTAAAAACTGGTGTAAGTTTTAATTTGATACGCCATAGCTAGAAGTAATCTATTTCATTGTTTTTCCTACTTCGGGAATCTGCACGTACGAAATAGCGGAAGAAAACAGTAAATAAATAATCCTTCTTTATTTTTACAACATAATTATTTAAATTAATAATAACAATTTCATTAAATTAATTATAGATTAAATAATTACATATTTATGTATGACAGAGCCAAATACAATATTTTGTACAGACTAAGTATGTAGGCACTTTATCAATTAGGTGAATAGTGTACAGTGTACCATTATAACACAGCGGTGTATCGAGAAATAGATGGAAATAGTGAATACACAGCGGGCTTTTACCATTATTCTACATAGCTATAGAAATACCTAATATTATACCACAGTGTAAGGAACAACCAGTGGTCCAACACCTTTAACAGGAGGGAAAGAAGGGATTATTAATTAAGGGATACTAACAACCCCATTATTAGCAAGACACCCTGCCAGAGCGACCTCCTCGAGGTTTCCCCTGGAAATTTATCGTGTTTTTTTTTTATTGATGAATGGAATGGTGACCCCGCCTGCGTTGTCGGTATACGCTGGCGCGGCACTAATTATGGATGATAGGTGAGGATGAAAGCAGATCAGTTGGCCCATCGTAAAGAATTCAACAGAAAGAAACTGATAGTTTCCAAGAGTAACCGCGTGGAGGTCGAACTAATAGGGTATGGTAATCAATAGGGCTGTTAGTATTTAATTAAATTAATAACAATTCTTCCCCCCCCCCCCCATCATAGGAAATACGCTGGTATATATCCTATGATAGGGAGAGAGGGGGGGTATACGCTGGCGGAGCACCAGTAAAGGATAATAGACGAGAATGAAAATGTAGTTTAGTTAGTCCATCGTGATGAATATACTTGGAATTCGGCTCGATGGTTAAAAGGGAGAACCACTTGGAGGTCGACTTGACAGGAAATACTGCTAACAATGGGACCGGCAGTCGGCATCACTAACAACCCCTTCCCCCAATCGTCATAGTTAATCTTGATGAACTTGATGCTTGATAAGACTTGATCTTGACGAACCCAAAGGCGACTATACTTTATTATATCTCTAATGTCCCGCCAGTATATACCAATGAGAATGAGAGAGATGACCAGTGACATATCATCGTGACAAATTCATCAAAAATTAACCACGATAGTTTCCAGAGAGAAAGGCGTGAAGTCGATCTGAAAGGTCATATTGTTGGCAATAGGGTTCCTAGTCATCGTTACTAACTATCACTTCTCATCGTGGTAAAATGGTCAGATGTAGGCTATCAGTACGAATAAACATAATAAACTGCGTATTTTCGTTTTATTACAAAGTAAACAATGTCCGTTCAATTTAAATACAAAGGATTATAAATAAAAATACACACAGCGCCCTCTTTAAGAAGTTTGTGCAATTAAAATAAATTTAACTAAGTTGCATATAACCAAAAACACAGAAACATCTGCTTAGAGTTAATACAATGTTATTAGTTAAACTCGACAGATGGCGCGGAAACTAGTTTCGTTATCAAAGAATTTAATATTGTAATTTCTAAACTTTATTAAAAATTTTGGAATCCTTTAAATCCAAATATTTAAAAAAAAAAAAAATAGTAAACTATATTTTCAAAGATAAAATCAGAAGTGCTAATGAAATAAGTGATTTAGTAGCACTTTTGCTTTTGTCTTTGTGTAAAGCATTGCTGCTTGACAAATTAGTTTAAATGATAAATCATAGATGGCGCTCATCGTTTTACAAAAGAAAAACAACAGTATTTTATAAAATTATATTACTCTTTTAGAATGAAATCTTTGACTGCACTATTAAATTAATTTAATCACTTACCTGTTCATTGCTGCTGCTCATGAAGCTGGCCTCCCAGAAATCTTCAATATTCTCCGGAAAATCACACTCCTTCGTTGGATCAGGACTCAAACATGGTTGCCTCATTTTGAACACTAATATTAACCCACCATCCTCTTCTTCAGGCCTCCAGGCACCACACATTGTCGCCACAGTCCTGGTTTTCTCTACATTACTCTCTGCATCATGGTTTAATTTAATTTTCTTTATGGGTGGAGAGTCGAGATCAGAATTAATTTTGGAATTTTCACTGGCCATTATCAAATTATTTCGACTTTTAAATCGATATAGTTCAAGTAATTTAATGACTTTATTTTTATTGGGAATTGTTATAAATTTTTTCAGAAATCCTATCATAACACAACTTAAAAACAAAACGTAATAAAAGCCTTACAAACTATTTATTTTAATTAATATTATTAGAAACACAAAAAATTTGAATACGAATAGAATTATATGAATTTAAATTAGATATTTAAGAAATAAACACACGCGGTACTCCACAAAAAATACCGGTTCTAACCACTCAATTAATAAACACTTGATTATATCGAAAGCTTGAAGAAGCTTAGTAAATAATGAGACCCACTGTGATTTCATTCAATTGTCATTGACACTCTACACAAGAATAGTCCAGTTTACTCGTTTTTCGCTCAAAAATCCCGACGTATTTAGGTTATCAGGGAACTCTAACAGAATTAAAAACAAACAGCTGTTTTCTTTGGCGTGAACTGTCAAAAGTGTCAAACGTTGGATGCGTTCGTAAAATATTAATTTCTTACAACAAATTCAAATATTTAGGTACGAATTCACAAAGAATAATATTATTCCTACGTATGTTAATTATATATTAATTTTAATAAATTATTATTCGTCTTACTAATTTTCACTCAATTGTCTGAGTTTTTTACATATGCAAGAAGCAACCTATTTATCTAATTACAACGGCGTAATTATTTTACCCGAGGCTCATAGTAAATTTATTGAATGGGGCCTTTACCTAAAAAGCGATGTTGTAGTTTTATTTTAGGCCAGGCCGTCTCCTTAGGTAAAGGGTTCGAGCAATTTACTCGCTTTTATAGTTACGTCACTGCCAGACTGGGTATTTTTTTATAATTTTGGGTAAAAAATTAATATACGTTAAATTTTGAAGAAGAGTAAAATGGACTTGCAGTAATTTTTTTATTTTTTATTTTATTTTTAGTAGTGGTTTTAATAATTGTAAAGTCTGTAGAGGTATATAGTGAAGTAAAATACGATAATGAAGATTATATAATAAAAGATAAGGAGAAAAAAAACAAAGGATTTGCCTTTTTTCGTCATCCTCTTTGTTGCATTTGGTAAAATGTAATGAAAAATTATACAAGTTGTAACAGTGTAAAAGTCCTGTAAATCGTGTTGATTTAGAAAAAAAAAATTAATAACGTTTAGGTGAAAATCAAAATTGGCATCTGGCAACCCTGTTTGCTATGAAGATTAGGAATTTTTTCTTATTAGTATTGGTACTAACTATATAAACAAATGCTCTATTAATTTATTACTTTATTAATTTAAAACAGGGGTTATAAAGGAATTTTTGCTGGGTTTTCCTCATATTAATATTGAAATAAATATAAATTCTATAGTAGACCAAAAATAGTTAGCAAAAAAATAAAATTGCGACAGCAACCCCACAACCGAATTATATCGAAATACAGTCAGCGAAAAGTGAAACATTTTGATGCTATAAAAATTCAGATCAATAGATAGGTAAAGAATCATCAATGACAGATCAACCCGGTTAGGTAAGCCTATTTACATTTAAAAAGGGTATGGGAAAAAAACCTGCTGAATAAACAGTTATTTGAATCTAAAAGCCAACCTCTAGGCTGTTTGCTTTTGATCTAAGCGCTTTATGGTACAGATATTTTTAATCTTTACAATTTTAGGTAAGATTACAGACAAACATCTATGATCTTTCATCTTTTACCAGTTTATTAAATAAGTTTATACTTTTCTTAGTATTTTGTTCGTTGCTTTGCACGCATAGATTTTAGAAGGAATAAAACCAATGAAATTGGCCACTTCTAGATGGTGTTTGAAGATAAAACCTATACCAGATTTTAAGCTAGACCTTCAGGAATACAGTTTTGAAAAGTACATCTAATCTTGTGCACTAGTTTGTGCAGCATTAGCGATCCCGATACAAACATACCAATAGACAAATATTTCAAAACCCTAACCTCGATTTTTCTTAAATGTCTTTCGTTTTATCGTCCAGTTTCTATTTTATTCCATAAGCAAGATAAGATTAGTAAGATTTAGAAATAAATTAATGAGATTTAAATAAATAAATTATAGATAAATAAATAAATTGCTAGTTATTGAACGCATTACCTACTTGAAAGTACAAAGCCGGACTGGGCTGCTAGTAACTATTATATAATGCAAAATCAACTTATACTTAAATAAAACTTATATAGGTACAAAGCATTATTTGACTAATCTTCTAGGACCAAAGATAGAATCTTTAGTCTTTTCAACCAACTTCCAAAAAAAAGAGAAGGTTGTCAATTCGGTCACATATTTTTTTATGTTTCTTAACTCAGAACTTCGTCTTAATATAAAAGTATAAAGCGACTTACAAAATTCTTTTTCAGTATACATATATTTACATTGTAGTATTGGTCTTGGCATAGAATAGGCTTTCTTTTCCCGTGGGTGTCGTAAGAGGCGACTAAGGGAGGGTAAGGAATGAGCAGCAGCGTCCTTGGTCCTTATAAACCATTTTCAAAGCCTAACTGCCGTTGCCAACCCGCCTGCCAAGCGTGACAACTAAAACGTAAAATTAATCTTATGGGGAAGGCAGGCAGGCAGTGGACGGTTAACGGTTGAAATAATAATAATAAACATATTTTCAGATAATTTCTCTTTGTGTAAGAAAAGCTAATTGTCAAGAAAGAATTTGTATGGTAATTGTTGTAAATTTGTAGATAGTATCAATAGGAATACTGATTTTTCAAGTCTAAAACTTGGTTTCCAAACGATAGATAGATAATTATGTAGTCTCTTGTGAAAAAATTAAGATTTCTATAGTACATTAAGTTAAGAGATTAGGTGGGCAACATATGTATGTAAGTACAGATGTTTCCTACCTCTTGGGAGATAGATTTTGAGCTGGAAGAATCGGAATTTTACCGATAATTTAAGGTAGACAGAAGACATTGAGATATGTAGCATAAAATATAATAAATATTTGCAAATTGAAACACTTATCAATTGACTTTAAAAATAGTGGAAGTTCTCAGTTAGGTTATATTCTTATATATGTTACCTCAGCCTTCCGTTATTTATAAATTTATTTTTTGTTATTTAAAAGATATATTTTATATATAGGATTTATAATACTCGTATTTATGTAAAAAGGACAATTCAATTAAAAACAACTATATATAGATAAATATATTTAAATATCCAAACATGTATTTTATATTTAGATACTGGCAAGAACTTATACTTTCTATAATAATTGTTGGAACAAATATAGGATAATATGTATATAATATTTCTGTTACAAAGTGCGGTAAGCGATGATAGTTCAGTTGGACAGCAATTTACTGAGATATGGAAATCCCATCAAGATTCATTCCATAGAGATTTCATCAAAATCGATGCAATTTGATTTTTTAAATAACAGATATTACGACGACAAATAACGATGTTTTTTTTTTTCTGCGAAATAAACTTTATTTGTAAATGGCACTCACTAATAGATTTCACAAACAGATTAGATACAGTAATAAAATATTAATAAAATCTTCTTGGTCTGAATAGCATAAATTGGGTTATGGGCAAAAGCTTGGAACCTCATTAGACTCGTGTATTTTCTCTTCACGAAATTGTTTCCATCATTCACAGCCGCCGTGGCGTCGTTCATAATCTAGCTGACTAAGACAATGCAATTTGGAGGCCGGAATGAGACAATGACGGGCAATCGACGTCCAGAATTCTTCGACCATGGATTTAGATTAAAAATATATATTTATTATTACCATTTTGCCCACCATTTTGTACGCATGGTTATAGAACTAGGAAACCTAATTAAGTAAATCACTTTAGATGGCGTATCAAGCTTTTTTTATAACAATACTAATTGTTTTAATGACTCATTCAATTAACATTTATACTTGTTAAGTTTTAAATTTATCATACCTAATTATGGCGAAATATAGGGACTTATACCTATTGTTAACATCTATGTATTTACCATGTCTCTTATAAATAAATATTCATTCATACATACAAATAGTAGAAACGAATACCTTTAATCTATAAATCATATTGACAGATGAACCGTTTTTTTTTTTTATCTCACAACAATGAATATCTTCTTTTTTATGCAACTCAGAATGGCAAATAAGCTGATGGCCTACTTAATAAAAAATGATAACCGTCTCCTATAGACATGAGCAGTGCCATAGACATAACAGACTATACTGTTTCACCCATGGTACCCCCATGCGTTGCCATTCCTGAGGACTAAGGTGTTATTCCTCTGTACCCTGCAAATTCACTGCCATATCCCATCCTTTGAACTGAAACACAGCCATGAAAACACAACACGAATGGGGCAGAGCTACCCAACCCAGCGACTTTTGTACAATCGTCATCTGGTGTCCTCCAGTAAAATATATCACATAACTTGATTTAAATATATAGATGAAATATACATCTGATGGGTAATAGGATAATTGTTGCTTCAGCAATTAATTGTCCACTGCTGGACATACGCCTTCCCCATAAGGGGGGTTTTGCTAGGAGTTGCCACGCATGGCATTCGCAGTTAGAATTTTGAGGTGTTTTAAGAGGGACGTTGCTGCCCATCTTTCGCCCTCATTTAGTCGTCTCTTACGACAGCCATGGGAAAGGTAGGGGTGGCTCATTCTATGCCGGGACCACACGGCTAATTAATATAGGATAATTATAAAAGTAAATACACCATTATTTTTATTTTAAATAACGTATAAATTATATATAAGTATTCTACTTCATCATCGTAATAATCATCACAGTTACATCTTTTTTTTTTAACTACTATTTATTTATTTTTTTAATTTATTTTGTAGAGCACTTTTGAATAACGTGGCTATTCTAATTTCCTTATTTCCACGTTCCAACATCCATAAATCAGTCGCGAATGAATCTTACTTGCGTGGGAGAGTCAGCAGATGCTGCATGACGCTTGGATATTGCAGACTGCCACAGCTTTATTTGTTTTTAGCTCAAAATGAATGTTTGTGACTTGTTATTTATCGAATGTTATTTATATTTACTTCAAAGATATAATTATTGCCTTGATGTGAGTATTACTTAATTTTTCCTCTATTAAATAATAGACCGCCTACGTATTTCATGGTTTGCCCAATGGTTGACTGGTAGAGAACACCGTTCGGTGTTAAGTCCGCCAAATGTACATATAATTTTACTGTGCATTAAAGTATAAATAAATAAAATAAAAAAAACTATGATGTATGACGCACAACGGGAATTTAGACCTTTCCGTTACAGTCGTAACTTCGTAGCTTGCTGAGTAACTTGCATATGCCAGCGTTTTATGTATGTATGTATGTATGTATACGCTGGCGGGGCACTAGTGAGCGATCATAGGTGATAATGAAAAAGCAAGTT